CTAGAGGAGCTCACAGAATGTTTCTCCACTCTTGAGGAGCAGATTGCCAGCATTAATCAGCGGGTGAGTAAACAAATTACCATCAAAGATTTTGAGTCGCAACGCAAAGCCACTGAAGAGAAATTGTTATACCGCATAGACCGTGAATGCACCAGTTAAAGAAAACATGTAGAGCTGCTCATTCAAGATCTTGGTCAGTCTGTACTAGATTGTTTAAAAAGAAGAGACCAACAACTTGATCAGAGAATACAATCTCTCCAGCCGTCAGTGTCCACTCCAATTCAGCCCATGAATACAAATACTGTTCGCACATCACTGAGAGATCAAACTTACAGTCTTCAGTCTAGTACTCTTCCAGTCATAGACAATTCATCTATAAATCCGTACGTCCCTCCAGTCAAACTTGGGTTCCCCAGTTTCAGCAACAGTCCAGAAGAAGGCCCTATCCTATTCATTGAGCAATGTGAGGAGTATTTTGCTGTTCGACCTTTGAAGGATAGTGAGATTTTGGCTTCTTTAACGGCTGTACTTAAAAGCACTGCTAAAGAATGGTGGATCTTTAAAGATGAAAGATTGGTTCACTGACGAGCTGCGCAAAAAATCGCGCGAATATGAATGTGGTTTTGCGCAGCTCGTCAGTGAACAACGGCTCTGTGTAGTTAATGCTGCTCCAATGTGAAAGCACGCACGTGATGGAGATTTACCGCTGATTACAAAACTGGCTTTACTGATAAGATGCGCGTTAAATATCTCATGCGATTTATCGTGCAGCCCTACTTTGGTCCAAATACCTGCTTTTCTCTTTTACATCACCTACACACACACAAGTCTGGTTAGAGAGAACAAAGTCAATAGTTGTGGAACTCCAGTAAGTAAGGCTCTCAAGGCTATTTTATTCACTTAAACATCCGATAAAGTGATTATTTTCTCTTTAATACAGATGATGCCAATTTATTTTCGATGAGTCGCTATGTTAGCAGTAATAATGTTACCTGCTTGACGGAAAGGGTCACCAGGTTTTCACAACAAAACCCGCCCAATTGCTACTCAAAAGTAGCCCAAAACTAGCCCAAACTAACTGCGCTTTGAGGGGGTCCCCCGGTAAAAATCGTATCCCGGGGGCTAAAATACACTTTATTGGGGATGCTTCAACCCGAGGACATGAAAAAGAGCCTGCGGCAACAGTGATAAAGTAGCCCAATTCCACGGGAAACCGCGGACTTGGCAACAATGTGACAGATAGTAATGTCTACAACGGACTCGACCGCTGTCGCGGTGTGACCACAACAGCTTGAAGTTGTCTAATTTGGCACGGTCTCCCTACTGGACTAATAGCAAGGCTTTCCTTTGTGTATACATATCCTTACAAGTACAATTTTAGCTGGATTATTTGTGTCCCCTTCAAAAATTGCTTTTGAGAAATTTTATGTTTATTGTCCCCCCCAACTGTTAGACAAAATTTACGCCCCTGGGCTGAATACCAAAAAGTACCTTGATGCTTATCCTATGCCACAAATACAGGACATCTTAGAGTTATTACATGGGGCAATTGGTTTCACTACACTTGACTTAAGGAGTGGCTATTGGCAACTGGAAATGGAGGCAGATAGCATTGAAAAAACAGCCTTTACCACATCTTCTGGGCTATACGAATTCCTGTATCTTCTCTTTGGGTTGAAAAATGCAGCAGCATCCTTCCAGAGACTCATGTAACATGTACTGCGGGAGTTGAAAGGTAAATGTTGCATGGTTTACATCGATGACGTCGTGGACTACTCCAAGAATAAGGAAGACCATCTTTAACATCTTCAGCAGGTTTTCAGTTGTTTCCACAAAGCAGGTCTCACTCTCAACCTCAAAAAGTGTAATTTCATTCAAAAATCTTTCACGTTCCTAGGTCATGTTGTTTCAAGTGAAGGGATCAAAACCGACCCTGCAAAGGTGTCAGCAGTTAGTTCGTTTCCCATCCCACAGTCTCTCAAAGATGTCCAAAGGTTTTTGGGCTTAGCTGGTTTGTACCATCGGTTCATTCCCAAATTCTCAGAAAAGGCTGCCCCACTTCATGCATTGAAAAAGAAAAACTCAACATGGACTTGGACAGATCACTGCCAACAAGCACCTAGTCACTTGTTTGACCTTATCAAACAAGATTTAACACAAGCTCCCGTTCGAATATCTCCAGATGTCAACCAAACATTCAGAGTTCAAACCGATGCCAGTGAAATTGGATTGGGAGCAGTTCTTACACAAGAATCTGCAGGAGAGGGGCTGAAAAGACCTACTCTGTAGCAGAGAAGGAGTGCTTAGCAGTGGTATGGGCGGTAGAGAAGTGGAGACCATATCTAGAAGGGCGTTTGAAGTATTAACTGATCATGCAGCACTGACTTGGACTTTCCAGCACCCAAAACCATCATCACACCTCATCAGATGGACCATATGTCTGCAAGGGTTTCACTTCACGGTCAAATACAGAAAAGGTCAGTGCACTTCCAAGAAGGTGATGTAGTTTGGGTACGGATGGATCCATTATCTAGAGCTGACGAAGGTTTTATGGCAAAGCTGTCTGCCAAATGGAAAGGGCCAGCAAAAATTAAGAAAAACTTGGGGCCTGTTAATTATTCAGTTTCTTTTATCTCTGATCCACATAGCACCGAAACATACCATGTGCAAAATCTTAAGATTTGTCATGGCTATGATAAATCTCTTTCTGAGGGGAGGGGTATGTAACAGGTCTAGCTGTTACTAGGTAGCTGACCTCTCCACTAGGGGGCAATTGAAAGCTTAAACCCCCAAGTAATTTAACCAGGTAGGAGAGTAGAAGAGGTTAGATTTGTTTGGAAGAGGGAAGCATCTCTGAAAATTTCAGTGGAGTCCTGATTGAGAAACTCTGTATCCTGTTCAATCTTGTAAGTTTGGTTTCTCCTCATGTTCTCATGTGCATTTGATCTGCTTGATCTGATTTTTTTTTCTACTTGATCTGCAAACTTTAAGTGTGGGTTTTCTAGTTAATGCTAGGTTTTTGTTTTTTGTAGATGGACTTTTTAAATATTACTTTGTATCTGGTGTTTAGTCTACATGAGTTGCAAAGGCTCTACTTTCATGGATATCAAGAAGACTGTCATATTGCCTTGTGTATTATCATATCCTGAGTACAAGGACTTGACTCTGTGGGCCTTTGTTTGTTGGGATTACTTGAAGAGCACTTTAAGGACTTCTTGCTATTTTTTTTGTGCATTTGATCTGCTTGATCTGATTTTTTTTTCTACTTGATCTGCAAACTTTAAGTGTGGGTTTTCTAGTTAATGCTAGGTTTTTGTTTTTTGTAGATGGACTTTTTAAATATTACTTTGTATCTGGTGTTTAGTCTACATGAGTTGCAAAGGCTCTACTTTCATGGATATCAAGAAGACTGTCATATTGCCTTGTGTATTATCATATCCTGAGTACAAGGACTTGACTCTGTGGGCCTTTGTTTGTTGGGATTACTTGAAGAGCACTTTAAGGACTTATTGCTATTTTTTCCCACTCATCACCAATGGGACTGTATTTGGGGATGTGAACATTGACTGGGACACACTGAACTCTGAAGATTCATTGTAGTTGCCATCCTTTCTTTGTTGTATTAATTCACATTATTCTGTAAACCATCTGTGGGTATAGATGTGAAGTACTGTATTGGTTTTCTATCAATTCATTCTCATTCTTGTCTAAAACTCTATATAATTTATAAAAGGTATAAAAACTTAATTTCAGTCTTTGTAGTTTGTGACAACACACTGGGAGATACACTAAGATTTTTCTAAGCAGTGTAAAATTGGTAGTTGGTGGGCCCCTCCTGATTTTCTCATATATGGCTACGTGCCTCTGTAGTGGACGGTGGTTATAAGTCAATAACATTAAAGCAGCAGCTCTAGGAGCGCCCACAAGCTTAACAGTAGAGTCTAGTGACCTTTTATCACCTGTGGTGGCGTTGTGTTGTTTAAAGTTATTGGAACGGTTAGCCTACCAAATTAAATCAAAGCAAGTGAAAACTACTTGGTTGTGACCTGTTAAGCTTAAAGGAATAGTTCACACTAAAATACACACACTTCTCAAGCCATTACAAACCACTTCATTAAGATCACTCTTTTATCTTACTTTTTTCTGTTAAACACTTGAGAGTGCACTGGTACATAGTGCGTTTCCAAAGAAAGTCAGGAATCCAGGTTTGAAGACCGAATGTAACTTTCATTTCTGGATTGCAGTACCAATAGATGGCAGTGCTGAACTTGAAGAGGGACATTTTCTAAGTATTGTATTGACTGTTCACTAAAAAAAAAGACAATAATTTCTTTTCAAATTTTATTGATAAACAAGGGAAAACTGCAGCACTTTATTCGGATACTTAAGTAAAAGGCATGAATTGTGACATACCTTTTATTACAACAGAAGCAAACAACTAAAACTCTCAAAACCATTTTCATTTATTTGTAAATGTTTCCCTACTTTGTAAAATGTCTGTATTCATGAACTCAGTGTATTTGTTATATAGTCACTTTCTGTCCCAAACCCTCTTTTGATCATCTTTGGCCCTGCACATTTTTATTACATGCCTTAACCTCACTTTAATCTGCAGCCCACAAAACAAGAATTTAAAAAATAACACAAAGGATATCTATACAAGGATATACAGTAGTACACGCATTTCAAAAATTAAATACCAAATTACTGTGCAAGAAACTTAAGTCATAACGACATGGGTTAATTACATATCTGGGAATCTGGCCTGGTGTTGTTCATTTAGTGTATTTTTTTATAAATCACAATGTGTTTGATCATAAATTTAGAAAAACAAAACAATTATTATGTGATGGATGGTAAACCATGTAAAGTGGGATATAATGCATAAAACATGACACTAAGGATTTAAAATTTTGATTTCAAATAAATGAATGATAGATCTCTCACTTTCAGACACATTAAAAGTGTTAGTTTGTGTTTAATTTAATTTGGTGTTTTTGTATTTAAATAGTGGCATTGTTGAGTATTATGCACTGTAAGTGCTTATGTGTTGTTTCTCAGTGGTTACCTGCAAAAAAAGAAAAAGATTACCAAGTCAGCAGTCACTTGATAAACCCTCAGCTGGATGCCACTGTAAATCACATAGCCTATGCTATTAGTGTGTATCAAGTTCTTATTAAAACAAGTCTAGACTCCATGTCTAAGAATAGGCATCAGAAATGTCTCCTATCAGAGTAAAGTATAATGATATACAGTGTATATACAATATATAAACAAACTTTTACTTGGCAATATATAAACATGCATTATATCTATAACAATATATAGGCATACCTATGACCTGCAGATGTGCAGTGCTTTTGGCTCTCCCAGTGATAAAGCACACGGTGCCGCTCATGTCTTCAGATGTTTGTATGAGAGTGAGCCTATGAACCGTTCCCATTTTCTCTACCACAACTTTAGGACCAGGATGCAGAGTCTCCCCATTCAGGGTCCATGTAGGTGCCTTGGCCACAGGCAAAGAGACTTCACATTCAAAGCATGCATCTGCATCTGCTGTTACATCCACATCCTGCATTTCTCGCACCATCAGGACTGACTGAGCTGTTACAACAGAGAACAAGTACCAATACATGTTGTCACATTAAATTGCCAGTTATGTAAATGCAATATTTTCTCATTATATTTATACTTGAATGATTCTCTATGATCAACATATTTTTAATTTCTGAAGTAAAATTTGCCCTATTGTTTTATTATTTATTTAAAAAACAACCAATGAAGTAGGTTTTAAATGGAAATACTATTAATATTTGAAAAACGTATGCAAAAGTATGAGTAACTAACTTGCAAGTAGCCATTCTACTGACATGACACAGGAAAACCTTAACACAGATTGGAACCATCAATAATATTTTATTTTGACCATTTTATGAACGGGCATATATTTAGGCTATATGTGCACTTAAGTGCACTAGTAAGCATAACCTACTGTACGTGTAAAAGGGAGACATCTCCATCTGCCGCTTAATCATTTTTGGTCCCTTACACTTGAGTGCCAGCTGGCTGAGGGTAAATTGGACGCACAAAGCAGTCCAGAGATTAATTAATCTGAAGTACTTATTTCTTGAGTAATTTTGCCATGAAACATGTTGAAAAGTGTTGTCATTTATTTGGTGTAGAAAAAGCACCCAAAAATTAGACGATCACGAGATTATGCGTTGTGTGAGAAGCGTTCATGCCAAGAAACTTGTTTCTTTCTTTTTCTCTTCTTTCTTTCTTTTCCCACCTAAAAGGGACATGATTGATTGAAGCTGTTTCAACATCCGGAAAGACTTTTATTGTCCTGAAATTTTCTTCTAGATCAGCGGTTCTCAATTCCAGTTCTGGCGTGCCACTGCTCTGCACATTTCCTATGTCTTCCTTATTTAACGCACCCGATTCAGATCACCAGCTCGTTAGGAGGGAGATCCATGAACTGAACCGAGGGCGTCAGAAAATGTGCAGGGCTGCGTTTTCCAAAAGCATCGTGAGCCTAATGGTGCATTTCCACTACGGTGTCAAATCTGCTCTCAGTGCCGCTGGCAACGCTACACTAACACTGCTTTCGGGGCGTGTTAAATTACGGCAAGAGCACACCTCTGAAAACAATGTTTACACCCTGTTTACATTTAATCTAGTCTCAACCTCAGACGTCACGCCCATGGAACGTTGGCTAAACGTCTGATGCATATGGCACACAAAAATGGAAACACTTCAGGAGTTTCGAAGTAGTCATCGGATTGGTTGAATTATACAGGATTTCCGGGAGACGTGTGTGTCGCATTCTATAAGGTTCCGCCTGGAAACAAAGATGTGGTGACGCCAAACCCCCTCACGAAAGAAGAAAGCCGGCGTGTTTACAACTGTGACAACGAGCTCTTATCAGGATTAACTAAACGCTGGATTTTCAAAAGTATGTGAAATATTTAAAGTTCGCGGCACAGGTTTTTAAAATACGTCTCAGAGTTTTAAACACCGGTCTGTTATTGTGGCGACATTTCCATGCCCCAAAACGTGACACTGAAACTAAACGAACTGTGATTGGTTGTTTGACATGTCGGTCAAACGGCCTGATGGGCGGTTCAGCCGTCAGTCTGAAGGTCTGGCTACGCGAGACTACGTTTCATCTACTTCTTTGCACAGTGATTGGATGTAGCCCGGCATTTTTCGCTCGATATTTGCATAAAGTCGAGGAATGCCCAAACTTTTTGATGCTCTTGGCCGCTCTCAACACTTTCTCTGCGCCGCTTTCAATCCCATAATACACCGCGTGAGCGTTTAAGCTCAACTTCCATAGGAATGAATTGAAAACGCTCGCTCTGCTTCGCTCGCTACGTGCCAGTGGAAACACACCATAAGTAGATCGTAGACCATTGCCACCAATGGCAATTACGATGCTTTTCAGAAACGCAGCCCAGGGCATTTGATCTTAGAGCTTAAGAGCGTTTTCTACAAGTCATTTTACGATCGTTCGTTATTGTTTCACGTGCGTTTCCCAAAAATGCGAGATGGTCCTCACTACAGAACACAGGATCCAGGGGGCGAGGTTGGATCCAGATCCAACTCCTCCCACCTTACATATACCTAAACCTACCTGTATATAATATATATAATTACATTATATTATCTACATTACTTCTTTTATTCATTTTTTTTGTTCAGTCATTTAATTTAGATGTGTATTTAAATTTTTTCTGCCCTTTTTAATTATTTAATTTATAAATTCATAAAAAAACCCCAAAAAGTGTCTGCCAAATGCATAAATGCACATTTTGTGAACTGGAAATAGGAAAAATGGTGGGTAAGGGAGCATGTAAAAAAGTCCACACATTGCATTTAAACAAACCTGCTTTTTGATTGATAACAACAGTCGTACGTTATTTTGTGATGATACACGCAACACGAGACTGTTGTTCTTATTACACCAGCCATATGATGCATACATGTAAAATTTAACTACAGATGGTAATATGTCACTTGCACAAATGACCTATCAGGGCTGTTTCCCAAAAATGCACTTAACGTAATCGCACGTAGCCGTGCTTTAAGTGCTACCTAGGAGTAGCTATCCGTTTGTCAATACATGTATTTAATATAATGTATTTATTATGCATATTATACTATATTATATGATATTATATTTATACGTATAATATTATACTTTACATAATAACATACAATATACTTTATACAAAAATATATTATAGTATATAATATCTATATAGATACGTTACTTCCGGGTCCAATACATTGGTTATCGTGCACATCAGTAAGTCATTTTTTCTATTTTCTAAGTAAATTTTTTCTGCCATTTTTAATTATTTCATTTATAAAAAAAAAAAAAAAACTAGTAATAAAGTGTACAATAAAGTACAATCAAAACTTTATATTATAATCACATTGCACTCGAATAAAGTTAAAGGTGCAATCTGCCAATTGTCCTGCAGGTGACCGCATAAATCTGTCTTCTTACGATGCACTTAGGGCTTTACGATTACTCCAGAGCACTCGTAGATCTACGATGATTCTCAAGTGATTTTCAAGTGATTTTCTCAAGTTACGATTCTTTTGGGAGACCGACAGTAATATTAAGATCGTATGATCGTTTTTACGAACTTCTTAGGCTTATGAAGCTTTTGGGAAACACAGCCCAGGACTGGAATTGAGAACCACTGTTCTGGATATATGAGAATGCTTTGATATTATTAAATCTAAATAAACCACTGTATGACTGACAGCTCAAGGAACTGGGTTTTTTGAACATTATAGTGCTGTCAATCAATCCAGTTCACACCCAGCTGTTCTAAATTATTATTTATAACTTATAATGCTATAATTGGTTTGAAAGGACTGAATTTGCCTTACCTTCAACAGTTAGTTTTGCTGAAGATGTGTAGTTTCCAACTTGAACACTGTAGGTGCCCTCATCCTCTAGCAACACCTGCGGAATCACAAGTTTTCGGTAACACCCTTCACTGCAGATCTCAAAGCGTTCTGAGGGCAGGATGACATTTGGGCCCTTATACCAGCGAATGCTACAACGGGGATTGGTCACAGTGCAGTCCAGTATGACACGGGTTTTTTCCAGAGCAGTTTTATCCTGAAGTGGTTTCACAATGTTTGCTGGCAGTGCTATGGAGATGAAAAGTTGTAGTTTTAAGTTCATTCTCGACAATTAAATAATTAGTACAGAATGGTAAAAAGAACCAAGAATACAGATGCTTGGAAACAGTGCTTGGAAAACGTTTTCTTTTTTTTTTCTATTTTTGACCGTTGGTCATTGCTGCTTTCTCAGTTGTCGGGACAGTTTGAAATGTCATGGCATCTGTGACTTGTCATCAAAGTGGGTGACAAGATTTTGATTTGTAATGAATGCTTGACTTAAACTAAATACAGACCTTCCACCTCAAGGCAAGCTGTAGTCTCAAGATTCTTGGCAACAAACTTGATCTCTCCAGAATCGTCTTCTTTAACATTGCATATGAGGAGGAAGTGCTTTGTCCCTAAGTAGGAAAACATGATACAGAAAATTCACGATCAGATACTAATTTACATATTCTCTGGTCAGTTTTTGGAAGAGGGCAAAGTTTAGCAACAGGTGCTAGAATAACCTTCCTGACGGATCTTAATGGTGCTGGTTGGTTTTATCTTCTCGCCATTCTTAAACCACTGTCCGGGCACATCATCTAGGGACACTTCACACATGAACACTGCATTCTGACCTTCTTGAATATCCAGATCCTCTAAGCTTTGTAGTATCTCAAGCTTCTTTTCTGTTGAAATGTTAATAAACATAAAAAGGCATTGCATAATTTTATAATGTACTCATTTAAAACTAATCAAGGGTAAATGCTTCCCATTTTTCATCTATTTAAGATTTGGTTTTAAATAATCAGTACTACCAGGAAGATACAGTATATAATCTGCAGATAAATGTGGTGATAATCTAACAGACTTTCTTTTATTACCATAGATATCCACTGTACAGGATGTTGTGGCATCCCCAGCATCACACATATATAAACCAGAGTCTCCCAGCTCACACTTCAGTATCTGTAGAAAGCACTTTCTTCCCATAGAGTAAATACGATGATTTTTTCCCGGTTTAAGCTGAACATCATTCTGAAAGTAGAAGACATCTTTATTTGTAGATTTTTCCCCCCACATAATTATTAGCACTGACTTGGAACTTTTACATGAGCGGTTTTTAATGTACTGCAACAAGAGGGTTTTTGAGGGTGTCATGTAAATTTACCTTTGTCCACTTTATGTCCACGTTGTGCCGTGAGAGCTCACATTCAAGGGTAACGCCAGATCCCTCTGGTTGCCTGATATCCTCAAGCTTTTTCAAAATTGATACAGGAATTTCTGAGGAAGCAAAGGAGTCTTGTCAGCCTATGTGAAAACTCTATTGTTGGACTTGATTTAACATTGATTAGCTTACTGACCCAAAACCATTTTGATCACATTTGAGAGGCTGTGATCTTCAAAGCCAGACACTATTTATTATTATTATTTTTAACAATTTACCTCTGATTGCCCCTGCTTGTCTTTTGAGATCACATGAGTCAACCGTGTACATTTCAATCTGTCTAGTACAACAGGAGCTTATCATTTAACCATACCTCAGCTTTATAAACTTCACTTATTATAAATAACTTAACACAAATAGAACAAAATATAGCCTATATAACTTGAATTAGGAGATTAAACAAGGTAACTGTGTAGGGCAAGCAAGCTACTGCCAAACCAACAGGGGCAACTAAAATGAATAAATAATAATAATTAATAATATCTTTTTTTTCTGTGTTGTGTATTTTCTGGTAATCAAATGAACATGCAGAACATTCACATTTAAATCATCTTTTTGCAGTTTAATATTCACAGACAGTCTATATATATATATATATAATGTATGTATGTACTGACCTGTTTTTTATTTATTCATCAAAAATAAGACAAATTCCATGAAATTCCGCGTTGTACAGTAAATTCCATTTTTATGACTGGATTTTCTGCACCACGGAAATCATAGGGCCCTACTAATGTAGCAAACGAATATGATAAGCTCATTCTGAGAGTAAAAGCATTGAGTCTCTCCAACTAGGTGACAACGTGTAGCGTTAAATCACCACAACTAGTGATGGGAAGTCCGGCTCTTTTTAAAGATTCGCTCTTTTGGCTCGGCTCCCTTAGAAGAGCCAACTCTTACGGCTCCCAAATGGCTCTTCATTTAGTATCACTCAGAGCCTTCTATTTTAGCCCAATTTAGCAATTGTGAATGGTTTGTGTGTTGGTAAGCAATTTTCTATTCAGTGTTTTTATAATAGTCTTATTTTTATGCATTTTTCCGTTACAAAAAATACAGTTACTATTATTTAACATTTTAATAAAACTTTAGTTGAACAAATGAACACAGAACCACTGCAAACAAATTAAATAAATAAAGGCAAAAGTCTTAACTTTAAGACATTTAGTCTTTAATGCAGGTTGGCATTCAGAAATATCAGATGCCTTAGCTTGGATGTGCTGATGCGATTTCTCCTCTCTGTGATTATTTGTCCTGTTTTTGAGAAGACTCTCTCTGAGGGGACTGATGTTGCAACAATGCAGTGTCTTCCTACCTTAACCAACGCACTTGCGTTTAAATCCGGCTCCCACGTCTCTCTGTCGCTCTGTGTACCTGGCCTTTACCGCTACACTCGCTATCTTCGGAGTGTGTGTCCCCCTTCCTTCTTTCACATAATGGCATGATCCTAGTCTATCCTCCCATGTGATTAGCCACATGTGTAAAAATAAGGCTTTTATGAAAACACTGAATACAAAATGTCTTACCATTCAAAATTGCTAAATTGGGCTAAAATAGAAGGCTCTGGCTGAAGATTCGGCTCTCTCCGACGGGAGTCGGCTCTTCTCGTTCGCTACAAAGAATCAACGATGCTCAAAGAGCTGCTAGGCACTATAAAAAGCTGATAAAGTAAATGCAGACCCAGTAGCTTGGGTGGCACTCTTAAAGCCCATTCACACCAAGAACAATAACTATATAAATGATAACACTGTTTTCTTCAGCACATGCGTGCATCTTCAGCACAGTCTTCAAAAATCTTTAGCACACTGTACTGTGCTGAAGATACACGTCATCAAAGTCAGGCAACACAAACCTGTTTCATGATTAGAACATGCAGAAACTAAGAAATAACATTTTCTATTAATATATTTATTTTGTTTAGGAAAAAAAAAGACAAAAAAAAAAAGTGTTTGTCATGTTCTGACCATAAAGAGTAGTTTAAAACCGCAATTAATGGTCTGGTCTTACACTTGAAAGAAATAAAGATGTGAAATTTTTGTGATAATTATCGATATCAAGGATAATTGGCTGTTCCTTTTTTTTTGGCCATATCGCCCAGCCCTACTTGGAATATAGCACAAGTCGCTTGGGATCATTCTGTGATCAGGTTTGAAGCTGGTTGCTTTTCACTGCCATTACAGTAAATGGATGAGGACATTTTACAGCATTTCTTGTTTTGTGGATCCGAAAAAGAAAAGGGCATTCAGCATTAAAACAACATTAGTTAAATAATGTAAATAATTACTTAACTTTCCTTTTGGGGTAAACTATCCCTTTAAGCTTCATCAATAAATATAGTTTAGGTTTACACTTTACCTTTAACTTCCAATCTTGCTATTGATCTGATGTTGTCAACAGAGAATATGTAGGTTCCAGTGTCATCCAAGTTCAGGTTGGAGATGGTTAGGCTGTGTACTCGTCCTTTTGCAGTCATACGCAAACGGTTGTTGTTTTTGAGAATGTGCCCATCCTTCTGCCATACACCCTCCACATTGCTATGTGACAGCTCCACCTCAAACGAAGCCGTCTCTCGTTCATAAGTCTGGATCTCAGTTAGACCTTTCTGAATCTTGATTTTTCGTGCTGTGTGAGAAAGCACAGGTTGTTAAAGCCAAAAAAATTTATAGTTCAATGGTGATGTAATTAGAAATTGGTTAATTGTTTGGAAAAGAAAGAGAGATTAAGATGAAAGCTATAAAGGTAATAAAGAGAAAAAAATAGAACAACAGTTTTTGAATTAGGCTCTGGCTCTGTTTTGTCCGCTTGGTGTTAGCAATGCACTAAATTCTGCTTTCGATCAGGGCTATGCCAACATTTTTTAAAGTTTTCCAAAACAGACATTCCCCCTGGAAAAGAGGGGTTTATTTTAGAGAGTTGGTGACACCACCCTAGATTTTGAAGGCCAGTGCACAAATTTAGCTGCAATGAAAACAGATCCAGATTCATAGTTGGTGCCAGGAACAGCCAAAGTGCAGACTTTCTCTCATCACTTGCTAATTTGTACAACACAGTTTCATCGTCTTGACCTATCCTTAAATGAATTGCTTGTTTTCCAAATTGTAAATTAATTTTAGCTTAAAAAGTTATGTTAAGAGATATTGAAAAGTTTGTTTGGTAAGTTTGAAATTAGATTGGTATTGAAGGCAATGGAAATTAGTTGTGAGGAAAACTTTTATCCTCCTCTCATAATATCTGTGTTTCACAGGCAACTAAGAGGAATTAAAAGGTTACTTAGCCGTGACCTTCTACCAGCTCTTGATACAGTTCTCATTTGGCATGCTTAATTAAATTATCATAGCTCTTCTGATCTAATGTCAATACAGAAAGCTGTTCCCCAGGATTCAGTAAGTAGTTTGCCAGTCACCTGTTTGCTGCTCTCAACCCATGGAACAAGTGTCACTAAAGTAGCTGCCTCTTACTCGCGTTACTCTTGATCACTTAATTCAGTTTGTTTCAGACAACAACATCGCAACGGGCAGTAATGAGGGACCATCACCATAAATAAATGCTAATAACAGCACACAGTGAGAAAGAAAGCAGAATGTGCAGACTCACGTTCCACAGTGAGCTTGGCTTGTGTACGGTCATGAAGAGTTTCACAGCTGTAGGTGCCCCGGTCTGAAAGGGTGAGTTTGTGGATTGTGAGAGAACGCTTTTTGCCATTCTGCTTCAGGGTGAATTTGGACCCTGGATGTATTACCACTCCTTGTCTCATCCACCGCACCTCTGCAGTTTCATGGCTGACCTCCACCTCAATCGTTGCTTCACCAAACTCCTCTGCAACTACCGGGCCCATGCTCTTCGTGAAAAGCACCTGTGCCTCTGAATACAGATAAGGTTAAATGTTAAGATCTTTCCTCATTTATTTGAACACTTTGGAAAACTCTTTATATTTGAAAACCAATGAGCAAAGCCAATGAGAATGACATTATTTAATGTGCTTGGAGTACAGCTTCTCATTCTACAGTACATTGCTATATGCTGTAGTAACACTTGTCTCTGTCAGTTAAGAGTGGAAATCTAACTGGAGAAGCTGTTACGCACAAGCACCTTTTCAACAATTCAGGCATGTCTGAAAGGGTCATTATTAAACTCAAACATGTTGACATGGCATTAAAGACCTGTACAGGCTCTTAAAAATCTAACACACCCTGCACTCCAAATATTATTTTGTAGAAAATGACCCATTAGTGAATTTGTTACTTCAAAGATTGAAACTATGAATACATGTTCATAAGTCACATTTGAATTGATTGGTAAGCAAACAAAAACCAATAAAGCAGTGAAATAAAGATGGATGGTGTTCTACCTTGGACCTGAAGGATAGCTCTGGAAATCACACCCTCAGCCTCAGCTGTCAACTTGCAGCTATCTGAGACTTGGCAGTTGGTGATATGCAGCATATGGCATAATCCATTACTTGAGATGATGAACTTCTCATTTGATGAAATTGGCTGGCCATTCCTAAACCAGGCCAACTTTGCATCCTCTGGAGATACCACACACTTAAATGTTGCGTCTTCTCCTTCCATGACAGTTATGTTGTGTAGCTCTGCGATAAACTCCACAATGCGAGGAACTTGGGATAAGAAGAAAAGGAAATTGGCACTAAATTAATATGTTCATTCCTGATTTCAGGTTAAGCTTTATGCAGATTAACACAAGTCCTTTGGTAGAAATTAACTTACTGTTGACCACTACAGTAGCTGATGTCCTTTCATCTTTAGATTCACAAGCATACTCTCCTGCATCATCTTCTGTGACATCATGTATTGTCAGGCTTCTCACTCGACCCTCAGCTCTAATTGTAAAATGTCTGTTTGGTGCAATCTCTTGGCTGCTTTTAAACCACTGAACATCTCCCTTTGACTTGTACAGTTCACATTTTAAAACCACATCGCTACCTTTCAGTCCCACTACATTTTCTAGTGGTTTGGAGAATTTCACCTTCATTGCTGATTAGGAAACAGTAGAAACAACATTTTACTAGAGACTTTTTACAGGCAGTCAACTTAGTACAAAAAAACTATTTGAGTTGTAAAACTTCCCAGCCCATTCCCTGGTCTTACCTTTAACATGGACACTGAAATGCATCTTGTCAGATTCCACGTGACACGTATACTCTCCAGTATCACACCTCTTAAGTGGGTTAATAGTGAGGTAGTGGTTGTTACCATCACTTGTTGTGTGGAAACGATCTCCTCTGATTGGTTCAAGGCCTCTCTGCCATTTCACTGGGGCATTGACTCTATTAACAGTGGCACGTAATGTCACACTGTCTTCTTCATAGGCTGAAATATTTGTTCTTTCATCTTTTTTATTGAATTTGAATGGTGGTTCTATGAAAAAAACATGTTATTAAGTGATTTTATACACAAAGTTTCAACTGATACTTATGAAATTGTTTTCTTTGCTATGCTACTAAATTTACCTTGAACTGTTAGCCTAGCTATCATTTTGTCATCAATGGCATCACAGAGATACTCTCCAGAGTCAGATGTCTGAAGTCCTGATAGCACAAGCTTCCTCGTTGTTTCTCTGCTTTCAATGTGTGTGCGTGAATCCTCTTGTAGTAAACATCCATTGTAGTACCACTGGACTATAGCATTTACTCGAGATACCTCACATTCCAGGATAAGCTCATCTCCTGTCATTAAAATGTGGTGTTCTGGCTTCTCTAAATTTCCAACAATTGACACTGGAGCCTCTGAGCAAAAAGAATGAGTTATTTTTTAAGTAAACTGTTAGAAAAAAATGTGCAAAAATCTTTTGGGGTACAGCAGATTTTCATTAGGGCAGCAGCCTCAAAGGTACAGCTATGCACCTGATCTACACCTAATGGTACCTTAAGTGTGGTAGATAAAGTCTTCTTTTGAGGGTACTTCCCCAATGACAAGCTAAAGGTATAAGTTTTGTGTATTTTCTCTGAGCATGTACATGCATGTTTTTCATTGTGTCCATTGCCTTTTAACAAGTAGTACCTTCTACAGTAACACTGAAGACAACTTTATCATCTTGTGCATCACAGATGTACTCCCCTGAGTCCTTCAACTCAGCACTGAGGACAATCAGAGATCTGAATGTCCCTTCCTCTTCACAGATTAAATGCTCATTTCCCTCAATATTCTCATTGTCTTTAAGCCAACTGACCACTCCATTTGCTCTTGAGATCTCACATTTTAACACAATAGCGTCAGATGCTACAAATCGGCACTTTGTTTCTATGACAGATTTCCGCAGAATCTTTAATGGTGGATCTGGAAGGAAGAGGACAGAATTTTAGTTTGTTGCAGTGATCAAAGCATTTTAATCTACTTATCACAGAAACGTACCTTTGATTTTCACTAGGAAATCCATCACATCATCTCTAGCATCACAGACATATTGCCCTGCATCTTCAAAAGCTGCAGAGTGAATGGTCAACTGTCGACTTGTGCCATCCTCTGTGGTAGTTATGTTGCTGTTCTCCTCGATCTCTACTCCATCCTTCTTCCAGCTAACTTCAGCATTTGGTCGAGACACTTCACACTCCAGAACCACAGTATCTCCCACAAGTTTCTCTACGCCATAGGCCATTTTCCTTGGCCGAATAAATCTAACTGGTGGCTCTGCACAAAGAAATAAAGTCATTATGAACATTTTTATTATTATTATTATTATGAATTATTAAATAGAGGGTCTTTGACACACCTGCAATGTTTACAAAGAAGGTCACGGAGTCATCAGCGGTGTCACAGACATATTCTGCAGAGTCTTTGACGGTAGGTTTTGGGATAATAAGTCTCCTATAGACACCATCGACCTCCAGAATTAGGCTGTCACTCTCCTCCACTTCATTAACACAATAGCGTCAGATGCTACAAATCGGCACTTTGTTTCTATGACAGATTTCCGCAGAATCTTTAATGGTGGATCTGGAAGGAAGAGGACAGAATTTTAGTTTGTTGCAGTGATCAAAGCATTTTAATCTACTTATCACAGAAACGTACCTTTGATTTTCACTAGGAAATCCATCACATCATCTCTAGCATCACAGACATATTGCCCTGCATCTTCAAAAGCTGCAGAGTGAATGGTCAACTGTCGACTTGTGCCATCCTCTGTGGTAGTTATGTTGCTGTTCTCCTCGATCTCTACTCCATCCTTCTTCCAGCTAACTTCAGCATTTGGTCGAGACACTTCACACTCCAGAACCACAGTATCTCCCACAAGTTTCTCTACGCCATAGGCCATTTTCCTTGGCCGAATAAATCTAACTGGTGGCTCTGCACAAAGAAATAAAGTCATTATGGACATTTTTATTATTATTATTATTATGAATTATTAAATAGAGGGTCTTTGACACACCTGCAATGTTTACAAAGAAGGTCACTGAGTCATCAGCGGTGTCACAGACATATTCTGCAGAGTCTTTGACGGTAGGTTTTGGGATAATAAGTCTCCTATAGACACCATCGACCTCCAGAATTAGGCTGTCACTCTCCTCCACTTCAAGTCCATCTCGATACCAACGTACAGTGGCGTTTGGTCTAGATATTTCACAGCTCAGGACCATCCTTTCAGAAGTCTGTTGGCAAAGTTCCATTTGGGACTGGCTTGGAGAAACTATGCGCACTGGTGGTTCTATAGGGAAACATATTGCAAAAGTCAACATGACATCAAAATGGACCTTATTTACTTTCTTAATGCATGTTCCTAATCTCTCATTTCATGCAATTCATTGATGCATGGTATTCTAAGATGAAAAAAAATGTTTTCGTAATCTTTTAACCATTTGAATAACTTGATCTGATTACCGCAACAACTTTCCTACTGGCTGACATCACAAATCTCTACATGTAATACAATTGAAACCTAAATTTGATACCTTTTATGTTTAGATTGAAGAATATTGAATCATCAGCTGTGTCACAGACATATTCGCCAGAGTCCTCAACACCACTGCGCAGAATTTTTAGCCGTCTATATGGACCCTCTGTCTTTAGCTTTATGTTTTCACTCTCCTGTAGTTTCTGTCCATCCTTGAACCATGTCACCTTTCCATTTGGCCGTGAAAGTTCACAGCTAAGAACAATTTCTTCAGGAACATAGCGATCAAGGTGGACATCTTCCTTGGGATATACAATCATCATTGGAGGTTCTGTAAAGCAAAATAAAATAGTTACACAGCCTTGTAAATGTAATTTGATCAGATTTTACTTGTTTCGTATGAACATAAACATATTTACTCACCTCTTACGTTAACTTTAAATATTAATGCGGTATCTCCAGCACGACAGGTATACGTCCCAGAATCTGAGAGTTGAGCTGAAAGGATGATCAGTCTTCGTATAGTGTTTTCTACCTCTATGAGGACGTTGTCACAAGGCTTTAGTTCTACTCCGTCCTTGTACCATTGTGCAGTAGCATCTGACCTGGACACTTGACAGCAAAGGAGTAGATTGTCTTGTTCCACAAGATTTCTGTGCAGATCAGCTTCTGGTATGTAGGCAAATGTCACAGGAGGTGCTGCAATAAAAAAGGAAATGGACATTAGTTTTATGTTGCACTGCTTTTACTTCGCTTTTACTTTTTTACTGTCGCACAAGTATGACATAAAGCATGCAATTCAAGCACTGATGATGATTGCATGGGTAGCCCTGTAGAACTTTCTCCACTCTAAAAGCCAAATGAAATACAAAGAAAAAGAGAATACAGTTAAAGAAAGCTTTGTGAGAATGAAGTGCTTTTAAGCACAGATAATAAAGGTTACATGCTTGCCCAGCGTGGTTTCTTTAAAAATAAAGAGAAACAAGATGCTGGTTAAATAGCATCTAAGGATAGTAGTAGTTGGTGGAAATATTGCAAACAAACTTGTGAAGCTTCAGATATATTCCTGCATTAGGGAAATGGTTAAGGAGCCAATAAAGCAGCAAGAATGGATCTGTCGAAAGGTAGAGAAGAATGCTTTCACCCAATGAAAACGGAACTCTACAAAATGATGTATTTGTTAGTTATATAACAGAATAGTTTGGATATTGTATGTCACCTTTAACATCCACAAAAAATTAGCTGATATCATCAGCAGTATTACAACTGTAAAACCCAGAGTGGGATACATTTGCTGATTGGATAACCAGTGTCCTCATGGTGTGCTGTGATTGGATGTAAACCCCAGATTGAGGTAGGAGCTGTATTCCATCCTTGTACCATTGGACCAGGGCTGTAGGATCAGATATCTCACATTGGAGAATGATTGGCCAACCTGCTTCAACGGACTTGTTCTTCTCAATCTCAGGAACAGCTGAGAACATCACTGGTGGAGCTAAGAGGATTTTTGTTCAGTCAAATTCATAAAATTACCAAAAAAGCCTGTCTAAGATATGAAAACTAATGAAATGAAATTGAGAAAGATGAAAACTTACATATGGCTAATGAATGAGACACTTTGCCGATTCCGAGTGTATATCATGAGTTCATATCTTATGTTAATTGCTACTGTAGAAGAAGCGTATTCTGCTGAGCATAAAAGTTAATGAGCATGTCTAAATTTAGGGTGACAATATGTGCCCTTTTTCCCGGACACGTCCTGGCCAGAATTTCTATATTGTCTAAAATATCCAGGTTTTGGCTTTGTTTGCGCTGCGCAGACCGATCGGTGTTATGACATCAAAGTACCGTGAGAGCTATAGAGAGCAGACGGCTCCTTATGCTTTTGAATTGCTAATATGTAGAGCCCACCTTCTCATGCGCCATGATTGGTCGATTATGTACAACGCCTGCATGTTATTGGTCAAACTACTTTTCGATCATTACCTTCAGAAAGTATAAAAACAGGAAAACAAAGCCAAAACCAGGATGTTTTAGGCAAATGTAGAAATCCTGGCCAGTACATGTCGGGGAAAAAGAGGACGTATGGTCACCCTACTAAATTAGGTGACATTATCTATACAATATATTAATATTGTATAGCAATAAGTGATTCGAAGATGTTCAAAAATCTTTTAAATCCTTTTTTACAGTTTGTTTGTGTCAGCAAAAGTGGAGAGGAGATAATTTTAGTATTTAACAAATGGGGCTTTGATTATTTGGTTATGAATGTTTACTTTGTTAAATTCTGATAAGGGCAAACAGCATTTAGTGGATGAAGCGTTATTTGACACATTGTTAGTGGTTTTGAGAAAGTATGTAGACTCAAAATCACCTGCAACATCCACCTTGAATGCTATGCGATCATCCACAGCCTCACAGCTGTACATGCCTGAGTGTTTGAGCTCAGCTGATTGGATGATCATTTTCCTCATAGTGCCCTCTGACTGGATGTCAAGTCCACTGTCTTGGAGTTCGACTCCATCTTTGAGCCAGGAAACTTGGGCAGTAGGGTCTGAGATTTCACACTGAAGTATAATGGGACAGCCTGCTTCGATAAACTTGTTCCTTGCAATTTCTGGGAGTGCTGAGAACCTAACAGGGTGAGCTATGAAAATTTGAAAAAAAAAAAAGTAGATTATTGACAAATTAATTTGTGCAAAAAAGTACAAATCTGTTAAAAGACAATTAGGCAGTCTTAACCTACAAATGTGTTAAGTCACAGGGTTTGCTATCAAGTTATCAAGAAGTGAAAGAAGCAGGGTTTAAATGGATGGTAAAAGATGTCACAGGAGGTACGCTTTTCAACAGGGAGTGATTAGAAATTAAAGAAATATCTAATGTGCCATGAAACAATGCACAGCAGATTATCATTTTAAAAGTTAATTTGTGTGGTAGTGTTGTGAAAATCACCTTGAACATCCACCTTGAATGATACGGTATCACCTGGAGCATGACAGGTGTTGTTTCCAATATCAGACAGTTCTGCTGATTGGACAGTTAGTTTCCTCATATTTCCATCTTTTTGGAAATTGAGTCCAGGTTTTGGGGCCAGATCTATATCATCTTTGCACCAGAGCATCTCAGTGGTAGAGTCTGTTATATCACATTTCAGAACATTTGGTGAGTGTACTTCAGGGGACTTGTTCTTCTCCACTTCTGAAATTGGAATGAACTTCAGTGATGGAGCTACAAAATTGTGAATGGCATAGAGTAGGGCTGGGCGTTATGACACTATATATTGTGGTGATGGTACAGTATAAAGTGTCTATCTTTAGATACTTAACTACAGTATATTGTTTATATCACGGTATGCAAATATATCTGCATAACACAGTCTTACTAAAAGTTGTTGACTCTTTAGAGTGATAAAGTAACATGCATGAATGAGAAAATAAAGAGTGGCAAGTGCACTCAATTGTTGTGTGCACTCAAATGTTCGCGCTGACTGACACACCTGTGAAGCACACGCACAGAAAGCCACCTCTCACACAGCATGTGCCATGCAATTTGGGATGTGGATGACATTAAATATAGTTATTAAGTGCAATAAGCTGAGAAAAATAACTCATTGCAGTGGTCACGCACTGACTGACACACAACTGAAGCGTGCGCACAGAAAACTGCCTCTCAGACAGCATGCAATCACGAATTCAGCTCTCTTTTGCGTCTTATTGCGCTTGAGTCAAATACACACACAGTTATGTCGAAATGTCCATTGTGTGGACTGGAGTATTCATGTAAACACAGTTGTTGCTTTTGTCTTAAGTGAATGTAAATAAGGGATGTGTGTCATTATTTTGGAGCCGCACATTCGGTCTTAAAGTGACAGCAGCCTAATATAAATACATCAGTGTCTGAGAAAAAAGAAAATATCTTACTGCTTTTTCTTGAATACCTTTTGTAGCTTTAATAAGAATAAATTTACATTTACTTCACACAGTGAAGACTGCATTTTTATTTTTACAGATTACTCGGTTACTGTAGTATTTTTTACTTCATGATGTTACAGGAGGTCCTATTCAACGCACCTCCTATTGTACCTGAAAAACTTAATTTGTACTTTTGTTATATTATATTTTTACTGTTATTTGTAATTTGCTTCTTTGTTCTTATTTTTAATAAGATAAAATAATAAAATAACAAAAATAACTATATAGTGACATATTGTTATCAGGAATTTTTTTCATATTGTGAAAAGTCTTTGGTCATATCGCCCAGCCCTAGCATAGAGAAAGAACTGCATGATTTAGTGGAAAATAACTGGCTAGTAATATGTTGTCGTGTTTTTTTCCTATTCATGAATACATGTGCTTGAGTGACAATCAGTAAACACTACTAAGGGATAAAGGCCAAATTATTTCCCTTCTACTTCTGAATAACCACAATACATAGTTTTGTAGGCAATTGCTTGACTTGCTCAGTTTACACACATCTCATGTGGTGTCTTCATGAAAGAAAACATCAAATCACCTTTGATTTCCACATGGAATGAGATGGCGTCATTGTTTGTCTGGCAGCTGTATGTTCCACTGTGACGTAATTCAGCACTTTGCACAGAGAGTGTTCTCATTGCTTCCGCATACATAGTAACAATACCATCTTGAGGAAGCACCTCATTCCCATCTTTGTACCACCATACTTGTGCATCAGGGTCTGAGACTTCGCATTGTAGTTTAAAGGGTCTTCCTGACTCAATGCATATGGTCCGTTGAGCCTCAGGGACACTGGAGAACGTCACTGGTGGAGCTACAGACAATTTTGCACAGACACATTTACTTTTATATTGTTTGTTTCTTTTTTTTATAAAACATACATGCATTTATAGTTTTTCTCGAAACTTGATTCTCAAGAACGGGTCAAAATATTGACTAACATTCAGTATTTTATGAAAGACTGTTTGGCATGAAAAGAATATATCGACAATTAACTGTAATGATCAATAAAATGCGAAAACAAAACAGAACAGAGACATACATTTCAGAATATATGATGAAAGATTAGTAGCGCAAGAATAATGGACAGCATTCAAAGTCACAGATATTTTACAACAAAGACAACACATGAGCAACAAACATGAAAGACAAACATACTGAAAATGAATTTAGTTTTGTTACTTGTGTATATATCAGGCCTTTTTTTAAACATTTGTTAGTTAGTGATGGGATTGCAGTATCCCTAAGAAGAATACAATAAAAAAAAAAAGATTATTAGTTGTAGTAGTAGTAATATATCAACACATGAATTACTTGAAGTTTCCTTAAACATGCTTGAGAACTTGTTAATGCCAATATTCTAATGACTGTTTTGAAAATGATTTTACTTTAATTTAACTTTCCAGGATGCTGCTATGAAAGGGAAATGTAAATAAATCATAATAAAAAAGCATATAAGTAATTTCTCTACTGAAATGTTCGTCAGCAGTGACAACATCTTACAACAACCTATTAGTCTGGCTTTTATCCGAACAACAGATTCAACAGAGTTAGTGACCATTGCATGATCGAAGTGTTTAGTTTGGTAATCGGATGGATTGAGCTGGCGTAGATGACTGATGATTCACCTGGTAGGTCCACTGCAAACTGGACGATGACATCATCTGTCTCATAAGCATGTTCTCCAGAGTGAGACGGCTCAGCTGTTTTGACAACAAGAGCTCTGAAAGTCTCCTTAGATTGGGTGCTAACGTCACATTCTTGGAGTTCCTCATCTTCCTTGTACCAGCACACCTCTGCCATTGTGTTCGATACCTCAGGTTGTGGAAAATGAGCAGTTTCTGTTTCATCTTTTGACTCTCTCCCGTCAGTCTCGTGGATAGTTGATGTTTGCAAAGATGTAGCTAAGGGGTTTAATTTGATATGTTTTAATGTAAGCAGATAATTTGACCTAAACAGGTAATATTTAAAATAAATGTTTTCTATGATTAACATGTAACATGCACGACAGGGAAGTATTTGTTTCTTTGCTTTATAGCAATCAGAAAAATTAGAGGCTATACTGCATTAAAGTTTTGTTCTGCGTATCATTTACTTAGAATTTGTAATGGTTTTTAAATGTTTATTTTTTTAGATCTATTAATTTCATTTCATATGTTTCAATATATATACTGTATATATGTATATTTTTAAAATTACGATTAAATGACTGGAACTGATTATGTAGCAGTGTGGATTTAAACTAGTTTAAAATCACCTTTGACATCCACCTTAAATATTATGTCATCATCCTTTGCCTTGTTGTGGTATACGCCTGATTGACCCGAGCCTATGGCTGGAACATTCAATCTTCGCACACTTTCCTCTGATTCAAGCATATATCCATTTTCAGAGTAGAACTGTATTCCATCCTTGTAACAGTGAACCGGTGAATCACCTTCAATGGGTCTGACAGCGTCATCTTCCGGTGGTAGTGTAAAGAATTCTGCTTTATGACCAGGTTCTTCAGTTTTGAGGGGACAAAGCAATGTTTTATAGTGAGTTAACTACTAAGAGTGTAAGTGTGAATCAATTTGATTGACTAGGGTACAGAACATTTAAGCAAAAAGCCAGACATTGTTAGTTGCTTTTGTTCATTAATGCTGTGTTAAAAACAATCTTGAGTCACCTTTCACTTCCTCTTGATGTACAACAAATTCACCCTTGGTAACAGTCTCATATGCTTCTTGCAGACACATCTCTGATGACTGGACGAGCTCTTTCTGTGTTGTAGGTTTATTGAATATTACAGTTTTCTCATCTTCTTGGCAGGATATAGGTTTTTCTTGGATTGTGTGGTCAGAGTTCTCAGTTAGCAGTACACTGGAACAGTCTGCATCAGTGCTCTCATCCATTCCACAAACTGGTGTGAAATTTGTCCTCGAAGCTAGGGATATTTCAAGTTATATGAAAAGAGACATGTATTACAATTATGACACATTACATTGTATATTTTATGTTAAATAAGCTAAATAAACTGCACTTATTTATAGCTTTGCTATCAATAATCTTACTCATATGTTTTTACTTATATCAAAATTACACTATTTTGGCTACAAGTTAGATTCAAGATGATACAATAGCATTTTTTTTAGTGAGATGATATTTGTTAGATAAATATTTGGTGATGGAATTCTACAAGAGAATCATTATAAAATGCAGCTACATTGTAGAAAAGAGCTGTTTTTGTTTCTAAGTAAGTTGAAGTTTTCAGAGTTATTCAGTTTCAGTAAATGGCTCCGAATAGAGAAGAATGGCGTTAAGTGGTTGTTAGGTGGTAAATGTCAATGGCGTATATTTTGCTCCCATCATTATTTGCAGAATGATGGCGCTAACTATTTAAATCACCTTCAACATCCACCTTTAAAGCTAAGACATCTTGATCCATGCCACTCTCTTGTATTGTGATGTGATCTGAGCCTTCATCTTCGGAAACTGAAGTATTTGTCTGGTTTGTTGGTTGCAGCTGTGATTGTAGCATTGTTTGTAGCTGTGGTTGTAGCTCTGGTTGTAGTATTGGTTGTAGCTGTGGCTGTAGCATTGATTGTAGCTGTGGATGTAGCTGTGGGTGTAGCATTGGTTGTAGCTGTGAATGTAGCATTGGTTGTGGCTCTTGTTCCTCTTCAGTCAATCTGAAAGTTGTAGGTATAGACACTGGGGTACCCCACTGAATTCCTTCTCCAAATCTTTCTGCTGTGAGATTGTTGTTCTCTTTTTCAGATTTGATCTCAGCCTCAGTTCCTGATGTTTTCAGGAACTCTTCTAGAGTTTAATTGTTTACACAAAGAAAAGGTGAAGTTCTTTTCTGTCTTCACAGCCAGAAAAGCTTTTAAAGATTTCTATCGATTGGTTAATTTTTAAGAGTATTTCAAGATTGTAAAATGTAAAAAGAGAGATGACCATATCACATAGTGGTCTAAAACAAGTCAGACAGTGGTTAAAACACATTAAAAAACACAACATGATTACACAAGAAGTCATATCACCAACTTTCATTCACTCAACTATTCATTCTGTATTTCAGCTCTCTGGAACATAATTCAGTCAAGACAATACTGATGATGATTCTGAATGACACATGGACAAGATGACTCAAGCAAATGTAGATGTGTACAGTTTAAGTTTAAATGAAATGTGCTTCAATGAAGAATGAAGATAGGTAAGTCTATTGAACGAGTGTTAGTTTGGAAGAAGGGTTTGCAGACCAACGGGATGTTGGATAAAGACATGATAGCATGGATTAGTTTTGGGAGCTGTTTTGGGTAGGTAACCAAGATGCAGGGGACCAGCATCTCCAGGAAGAGCCATTGGATAGTTAAAACCACCCTTGTTAGTGGCACAGAGGCACTGGGTTAAATGATTGGGTTGAGGTAGTATTATATCACCTTTTATATCCACAGTGTACTGGACAAAGTCATCATAGGTCTCACCACTCAACACCTCATAGTGAGACAGTTCTGCTGTTAGAAAAGCCACAAAGAAAACAATAACTGACTTGCTTCAGCCATGTTAATGCTCCTAATTCAGAATGGCGTACAAATAAGTGGCAAACCACCTTGGTCCATTTCAAACGGGATGGGATCATCTGGTGTCTTTTGGCTGTTTACTTCAAAAAGATATGTCTCAGGCGCATGGATGATTACAATTCCTCTGGATGCGTCTGTGTGAACTTCAGGTTCAGGTTTGAATTCAAGTTCCAATTCAAGTTGAAATTCAGGTTCAGGCTCAGATTGAGAAAGCATGACCTTCTCATCTTTTGTCCCGCTGACATATGGAGTAGATTCTGAAATTTCATAATGCAGTGCAACAGGTTCCATTTCTTCAGTGCATTTGGTCTTCTCATCTTCAGGATCAGCCAGAAATGTTGGTGGTGGCACTACAGATGACCATTGACAGAGGAATGCTTTATTCAATGTAAGGGACTACTTTTCTAAACTCAGAAAGACAGAACCAATTATGGCCACTGAAGCCAAGGACATATAAGTAACATTGTCAGAATACATTTAAAGAGAATTTAAAAAGCTACGTAGAGCACACAATTGTTAGTCGTCACACAAACACATTAAGTAGATTAGAAGCAAATATTTGAAAATCACCTTGGTCTTGTACATTAAACTGGATGACATCACCCGTTCTCACACAGTCGTACCATCCAGAGTTAGAGCGCTGTGCTGTCTTGACAGCTAACGTCCTCCTGGTACTCTCCGATTTGATATGAGGCTGACTTTTTGAGACGAGCTCTACACCATCCTTGTAGCAACACACATTGGCATTTGGATCTGAGATCTCACCTTGCAAATCAGTGGAGTAGTCTGCTTCAACCAGCTTGTTCTTCACAGTGTCTGGTAATGCTGAGAACATCACCGGTGGGTCTAAAGGTGATCCGATGCATTATTAAAGAATATACATAATTAAAATCTTTTATTAAAAAATAATCTAGACTGCCTATCTGTGATTTCTCAGACCATCTGCCAAGAAGCAAGTTAAATAATGCAAAACGTGTAACATCTGTATCAAATCACTGCCAACAAGTTGGATGCAATGGTGAGAGGCATGTCCATAACAGCAATGCTAAGAGACGCAGACAACAAAAAGCTTGATTGTTAGATTGCATCTAGTTTTGCAAATGAGTTACTGGATGTACAAGATTCTCAAAAAGTCATAAATCACCTTTGATATCCACAGTGAACTGGACAGAGTCATCAGATGATTCACAGCGGTACAATCCAGAATGACTGGGCTCAGCTGGATTGACTACCAGAGTCCTTGCATCTCCCTCTGACTGAATGTCCAAACCAGTCTCTAGCTGAAGCTGCGTATTGTTGTGGAACCAGCTGACTTGGGCTATAGGGTCTGAGACCTTACAGTGGAGTTCAAAGTGTCCACCAGCTTCAATGCATTTATTCTTCTCAGCTTCAGGCACAGCTGAGAACCTCACTGGTGCAGCTACAGATGATGGTTTATATCAGAATAATCAAGAATGACAGGAAACTATATAGATTAAAAGACCTATTGCTTTAAGATAACGTAACAACTGAATATACAAGAACAACATGACATAATGAAAAGATAATACAAAATTGTAAAGCTAAAGCAGAGAAAATGTTGACAGAGGTATTGTGAAGCAAAAAACCTTGAAACATTACTAAAGAATGTGACAAAAGAGCAATACCGAAAGCAGTGATTGTTAGTTGCATAACTGCAAGAAGACAAGAACAAATTTGGTCAAAGTCACCTTTTATCTCCACATGAAACTTGATGACATCATCCTTTGTTGTGCAGCTGTACACACCGGCATGAGACGGGTGTGCTGATTGAATACTGAGTGTTCTCATGCAGTCATCTGAGTTGAAGTCTACTCCAGATTCTACAAGGAGCTGATCCCCATCTTTGTACCACTGGACCTGTGCAGTAGAGTCTGATACCTCACACTGCAGAACAATGGGGCAGCCTGCTTCAATGCACTTTCTCCTCTTAACCTCAGGGACAGCAGAGAACCTCACAGGTGGGGCTATGGATATTTTAGAGAGTACTTACTTTATGATTTTAATAGTAATTTTTATTAATATAACTTAAAATATATTTTAAAATGTGTACAGGCTTAATCAACTTTGCCATTGTCTTCCCATTGTTTATCAGGCAAAATAAAATTGTAATTTAATTCACTAGTAAAAATTTTAATCACCTTTAACATCCACATTGAAGTGAACAGCATCACCCCTTGTCTTGCAGCTGTACACCCCTGAATGGTCAAATTCAGCTGTCTGGACAATCATTTGCCTCTCTGTGCCTTTGGATTTGAAGTCTAGTCCACTTTGTGGTAGAAGTTTCACACCATCTTTATACCAGGAGACCTGGGCGAGTGGATCTGAGAGCTCACATTGCAGTGCTATCGGCGAGCCTGCTTCAATGGACTTGTTCCTCTCATCCTCCGGAAGGACTGAGAACCTCACTGGTGGGGCTATATGTGTTTTGGTTCAGCATTATTTGGTAAACTTTACAGACTTGGAAGTGCAAGATTCCATTGTTGGACATACTCATTTGATTTAGATTCACAGGAATGCAAATGAATGTTATTAATAAATGCCTTCATTCTTAGATTTCCAACATGTCAACATTATGAGGCTGATTAACAAATTTGAAGAAAGGAATAATAAGAACAAAAATGACTCACCCTCAACCTCCACGTTAAACCTGATGACATCATCAATAGCGTCGCAACTATAAACTCCTGAGTGGGAGAAATCAGCTGATTGGATAACAATCCTCCTCATTGTTCCTTCTGATTGGATGTGCAGACCTTCCATTGTTTGAAGTTCAACACCATTCTTATACCAACGAACTGGAGCCTCAGGGTCTGACAGCTCACAGTAGAGCACTATAGGGTTGCCAACCTCCACAAATTTGTTTCGATCCATTTCAGAAAGGGGAGTGAATTTTACCAGTGGAGCTGATTGATGGGAATATATAAGCAAGTTTAACAACAAAAATACAACAGTTAATATCCTTATAAATATATCGCAGTGCAAGGAAATCAGAGTTAAGTGTTTACCTTGTATGTACAAAGCAGCAGAATCTCGAATTCCATAGGCAATGAAGGTGATCTCTGCTCCGTTGTCTGTGTCCCGTACCCCACGAATGCGTAGGGACTGGTGTGTACGTGAACGCCTTATGGAGAAACGTTCATCGTCTTGAAGCTGATTTCCATTTAAGAACCAAGTGCCTATAACTGAGGCAGAGAGCTCAATGGTAAAGCAGGCATCCTGGCCCTCTGGCACTAAAGCATCTTGTAGTGGTGCTTGGATTCTGGCAACTGGAACTGGAATTTGGAATTAAATTTGTTAGTTCTTTTTTGATGTGTATGAGTTGGATAGCCTTAATTAGGAGCTTACCAAGGTGAACTGCTCGAGGGAACTCAACATTTCCACTCCTTCCATATTTGTTGACACTGCATATCCGAAATCTGTAGTCTGCCTCGCATGGAACGCTGTCGCCAAGAATCTCCACTGAGGTTGCAGAGTCTGTGGTTAAACATTGCAGCCACTCCTGTGAGACAACTTCTTGTCTCTCAATTATATACCCTGAAGGTGGATTCTTTCGAGAGTCTTGTGCTGGAAACCAGGAAAGGAGAGCTGCATTCGCTCTCTCTGTGTTTATCTGTACCCCAATAGGACAGCTTGGTGGACAGTGCCTTGCAGCTTAAATTAGCACAAGAGAAGAAGGGGTTAATTGAAAATGAATACCTTTGGACATTCTGGAATTAGGAGTGTTTACATATTGTTAATTCCAAACAAATGTTTTCTTACCTTTCACCCTTAGCTGAGATGATGTCTTCGATCTACCCACATAGAACATGACCAAACCAGAGTCTTGTGGTGTGGTGTTGACAAAAACCAAGATGTGTGTCCTTCCAAAGGATTTGAGAATTGTCTGATGGGTCTCCCTTAGCTCTGTTCCATCTTTGTACCAATGAATGTCCATTTCTTCCTCCTCCACTTCCACACAGAAGGCTGCATTTTCCCCCTCCAGAACATCAACTTTTCGTGGCAGCTTTCTTACAATGGTTCCTTCAAGAGTAAGTTTACATTTAATTGAAGTAAATTAAGTTATACAATTTGCTCAGAATTGTAATGCTCAGAATTAGTTTTTCCTAGGCAGATGCAAGCAAGTTAATGTAACGTTTAAAAAATATATTTTTTTACCTTTGACCGTTACCTCAGCAATGCTTCTGCCCCCATCAGCCATTTCACAGAGATATATCCCATCGTCATCAACCCCAATATCACGGATTGTGAGTCGCCGTTTTGTCCCCCACTCCTCCATCCCATATTTGGCTCCAGGCTGTAGTCGTCTGTCTTCTAAGTACCATGTGATTGGAACAGAGTCCTCAGGAACTTCACACTCAAGAACAGCCAAGTCTCTCTCCCATACTTGCAAGTCATTTAGTGGTTGCTTAAATCGGACAGGTGGGTCTGTTGTTACAAGAAGGAAAAGAGCCCAAAAAGGAAAGTTCTTTTTTATGTCAGTAATGGATAGATCTGCATTATCTCTGCAGGGATTCAGTTGATATCAAATACCTACCCTGCTGACAATGACAAGCATACAGTATGTTGTGTTTTGGGTGATAATGTTCTTGGTGTCCTCACCATGCTTTTTAACTAGCTTAGCCAGCAAGACTGCTTTGATGGACTAGCTTCAACCAGAAAGGCCATGCTTTGTTTGTCAATAAGCACACAGTTTGCTAGTTAACTGCATGACTATGCTTGTTAACTTTTTAGATCAGCGCTAGCATACACTAGCCTCGACCAGCATAGATATTCATGCATGGAAATTCAAAGTAATCTGGTTGATATTTCCTAATGTGATAAGGAAGTAATCCATAAATGATATTATTTTCATATTGTTATACTATATTATTTTAATAGGTAATCGTACTATTTGAACTGAAATTAGTATTTTTGTCTAGTTTTCGTGTTTAAAATTCTTGAATCACTGAAAAATTACTTAAGAAGCAACCCTAGATAAGATGTTTAGACTAGTTTTCAGAAGTATAAACTAGTTTTAAAAAAGTGGGGAAAAAATCCCAAAATATGCCAGTGCAGTAAGGCTTACAATATACTGTAATGTAACATTTCAGAAATGTTGCTTTTCATGATCTTTTTTCATATTTTTATCTCTTTTTTATACTGTACATTATACAGTATATATAGCTTTTAAGAATTATGTCTTCAAGAGTATACCACATCCTGACAGTAATTTTTTTTTTGTCTTAGTAGTCATACTTTCAGTTTAGACCTGGTGAGCTCTATAGAGTATAGAGCTCTGATACAATATAGTCATGGTCCATGTGAGAAATATGAGCTTGCCTCTAGAGATTTCTATCGCATGTGTGGTCCTCAGGCCTTTCAAAGCCTAAATGACTTTGCAGATATAGGACTGAATGGAATCTATTTCATGTTAATGAGTTTGGCCAGATCAGGTAATTTTAAAGCTCCCTTGATGCATTTCCTACAACTGAATCATCATAAAAGTTACTGTTGATTAGGGTACCAAATGCTTAACACAACAGATGGCAACTGGCTCCTTAATTGTACAGGCCATATAAAGTTTATGCCAGATTAATATATATGTTATAGATCAGATGGTTAAACCATACAATTACATTGCACTTGTATCGAATTGCATTTATCATATTCCAAATCAAATGACTCTTACCTTTGACGATAAGGTGTACCGCACTCAGAGTTTGCCCTGCAGTGTTTGAAGCAGAACAGACATAAACTCCATTGTCCTGTTGTTTGCAGTAGAGAACTTTAAGTGTGAAGTAACCCTCTCTGTCTTCATACAAAAGATACCGTCTCCCAGATAGGATAAGTCTCCCATCTTTCCTCCATAATATTTCAGGTTTTGGCTTCCCTGTTACATAGCACCGAAACTTTGCATGTTTCCCTTCTGTCACTGCAAACATTTTCACTTTGGCTGAGTTTGGCAGTGGGTCATCTTTCAGTCTTGTCGCAACCTGCCTTCCACTTCTCTGTTTTCCCTGATGAGCTTTCCAGTGGCCGTTAGTGTATCCGTTACGGTTCCCTTCATCCTCATGTCCTGGTCCAGCATCCACCAACAGCACAGCCCCCGCCAGACTCTCTCCAAATTCATTCCTGGCCTTACACGTGTACACCCCTCCATCTGGTGCTCTTGTCTTGAAAATCTTTAGTTGGAACCAACCTCCATCCTGATAGCTGATGGCAAAATGTGTGCTTTCAAAGATCTCATTCAACTTCTTGCCATCCTTCTCCCACATCACTTCTGGTCTAGGGTTTCCCCACAGCTTACAGGAAAACACAGCATCCTCTCCTCGTCCAACTCTAGTCGAGAGGGGCTTGATGAGGAAGCGTGGCTTGTTTTCCTCCCGAAATTCCATCTCCTGTGCTTCACCTTCTACTTTCAAAGTGGCTGCTGCGTAAGTCTCTCCAATGCAGTTCTTGGCCTTACAGATGTATTGCCCACTGTCCTCCACTGTCACAGAAGTTATGATAAGGTTGTAGACATTGCCATCCTCAAACAACCGGTATCTGCCCTCTGGGTGAATTTTCTCATTGTTTCTCTCCCATATAACTGCTGGTCTGGGATCCCCACCAATCTGGCATTTCAGAACTGCGTCTGTGCCACTTTGTACTACCACAGGACGAGGGTAGGCCAGGAACCGTGGCGCTCCACCAAACACATCCATCCCTGCTTACTTGCCAACCTCCACTCAGATTGACAGGCTACAGGCATTCAGTCTCTATATTACTCTGGAAGAATTTTGTTGTCTAGCTGTTTATCAAGTCTCTGAATCGAAACATAGAAAAAATACATTTAATTAATGCTTTAATAATAACCAACAGTTTCATACATTATGTATATAATACAGTATGTGCTGTAAATACCAAGTTAAAATTGAATATTGAATGCCTTTTAAATTCCAGTTCAAATCCTGAGTTTGAATTGAGGTAGCAAACAGGACGCAAAATTGGATACAAGTCATGAATTAAATTGACATCCAATTCTTCACTTTTGAATTTTGTTAAACCCTTCATTAAAAACTGTCCAGGGGCCACCAATACTCATATAGTCAGTCTCACAGTAAATTACTGAATTTAATTGAGATACAGATAAATACGTCTTTGCTTGATCATTTACAGTAGGTATAGAAAAGAATCACCAACATGACAATGAGCCAAAGCACACAGCAAAACTGACCAAACAGTGGTTGAAGGAGAAAAAGTTGAACGTCCTTAGATGGCTTAGTCAGAGCCCAGACTTAAACCCCACTGAAAATCTGTGGAATGACTTGAACACTGCAGTCCACAAACGGTCACCATCAAATTTAACTGAACTTGAGCAGTTCTGCAAAGAAGAGAGACATATCCCAACAGACTAAAGGCTGTACATAAAGCACTGACACAAGGGGATGATACGTTTTTCCTTTCTACATGTTGGTGTTATATCTTTTACCTGGATGTTATAAGTTGCACTGAGTAAATACAGCTGGATAAATCAAAAACTGTGTCCGCCTTCATTTCATGCTGCAAAGCAACAAAATGTGATTATTTTAAAGGGGGTGATTCTTTTCTATACCAACCTGTATGTAATTCATAATTAATAGATTTTTGACTCCACTTAAAGGCAGAATTAGACTTGGCACTGGATCTGACAATTGACATTTTGCCATAATTTACATAAGTAATATAATATAGTGCTGGTTCGGCCTTTCAGCAATGGCTTGACCTGTTCATAGCATTAATTGTCCATTAACTGAATTTGTCTTCTCAGAAAACGAAAAATGAATTACTAAACTTTTCATGTCCCAATAATTTTGAAAAACTGCTTCAGCTATTTCTCAAATCATCAACAATCTACTAAAGTATACAGGCTCATTAAAAACTAGTTGCTGAGCATTTGATAGCGTGGCTCTCCGCAGAGAAAATGGGTTCTATTACACCAGAGTATTAATACCCAGAATTTTCTTAGATATTATGCTTTGTGTGAGAAGAGCTCAAACCAACTGTCTAGAGGTGAACTGTCTTTTAGCCATATTGCAACAGCGACCACAACACATAACTAACACAGCTGGTGCTGTATTTCAATGGGAAAGTGCTTTATATAGTATGCCCTAAATAAAGACCTGTGTCAGGTATCACAAAGCACACTACAGAACTTGAATGGACATACAAAACAGGTCTCACAGACTAACGCAAGACACACCCTATGGGGACCTCTCAGTCAAAATATGCTGCCACTCTCACACCCCTTTTACCAAATGCAGTGACAAATTTATGTGTTAAATATCATTGTCAAAATTTGTTTGCTTGTCATTCATTTTAAGAAAGAAACACTTTCTCTGTACATTTAAGTGATATCTTTCTCTGAAAATATCCTCTGTTCATAAGAAGCAATCCAGACCATGTTGGTTTAATGTGCCCTCATATGATATTTTTTTATGTGTGGCTTCTCAGTTTCAATCATGCTGCATGTTTGGTCTCTGAAGTGTACAGGGGAATGTTTATACACCAGGGCTAGTTTATCTGTTTTAGGATGTCAGAACACATAAATCGCTAGTCCTGGGAATCTATGACGCACAGCTAACTTCAGGCAAACAATGTGGTGTCCTCTTCAGAACCTTAAACGTCTGCTGGTTATTCATCATGCTACGCATTGAGGTTTGTGCTATGCTACAAACAAGACAAACACATTATATATGTAACACATAAACTACCTTATGAGAATCTCCCTAGAAGAGCTTTAAGCACACTAATTATATTACCATATACTCTATATATCCACTGCATAGTGTATATATTGTCCAAATGAAGAAAACAGATGTTCAGATGTCCCGCAATAAAATCAACATTGAAGAATTCAAATCCAAAAGAAACAAACAGGGAAGATACTCTTATTATATCACCAATTGGGATGAATGTTAAAGGTTTAAATGTATAACATCATCAATCCAGATTAGGAATTTCCCTAAGGATTTTAAAAGGAGATTAACCTCCTGTTTGTGCTCCTCATTTAATTAGACTGACCTTTGACCTCAGGGAAACTGCACTTTGCTAACAAACATATCCTACCTCTCTTCAGTCCTTAGAGACAACTGTCAATATACATTCCGTGGCAACCAACTTCTGCTTCACTGGCTCTCACTTCCAGCGGTAGGGTTAAAAAAAAAAAGAATAATCCTTTTCCACTTCAGTAAGTTTGTTGCGGTATGTCCTCCTCAGTAACGTCAGTGTCACCTGCCCATTTTGCCAAAGCTTTTACATGCCCCTTTTAAGATGATTTTAGCCAAATCGGAAAGCTTTTCTTTGAATGCTCCAGCAGTCCCTCAATCTCTATGGCGTTTAGTCCTGAGACACCCCTAGTGTCATTGTTTGTAGAAGACCGTTAAATGCTTTTGCAGCTGCTGCTGTCCCCTAAAAATACTGGCAGCCTCGATGACAGCAGTGAAGATAAGTCAGGCTCTCCATTCACTTGCTCGCAGAGGCTAAAGATAGGTTGGATGGCTTGTCCTGAGCAGATCGCTTGACTTACTTGAGAAGGGCAGTAGCCTTCTGGCCTCCTGAAAATTTTCAGGATTTATTTGAATGTTCAGAACCTTTTGTTTGTGGCATCAGCACCACCGTAGCCATCCAAAGGCATTCAAAGACTGCAGAGGATTCCTGGTAATGGCCATAATTTTAAGGGATCTGTCATCAGCCTTAGTAGAGGTGTAGCCCTACAAATTACTAAGACAAGTATGCTGATCACACGTACTCTGGCCTGTTTAAAAACAACGACAACAACATTTGATGCAAATGGCGTAATGTGTCTGTCAAATGGCCTAATGTGGCTGTCAACTGGTGTGAAATAGCTGATGGTGTTATTTTTCTAAATGAATCATGCATTTCATTGTCAGAGAAGGTACAGTGACGTGTCATTAAATAAACTGAGCAACTGTGAAATGCCTTTGTGGAAATATCTAAAAACGAAGCATTCAAAGAACATATCCAGAGGGGAGCTGCGTGCACGTGTGATTCGGCTTACGAATGTGTGAGGGTGAACACAGAGCAGTGACCCCTCAGCTGTTTAGAGGCTCACGTCTCACAGGCTCAACGCTGCCTCCTCTGATTTCAGCCATTGGAAGTAATCTGATTTTACCCTGAACCCTGAAACCAGCATCCTGGCAATGAAACGGTTTGTACAAGCCACTTTGTGAAAACCTGCAGGGATTAGCGGTCCTCTTTTTGAAACTTCTAAATTCCACCAGCTGCTAAAGAAGATATTAGCAAGTGTGTTGTTTCTTTATGAGTTGCAACCTGTTGCAATATGGACTGTGCAAAAGGAATAATTGTAAAAACAACATTAGCATCTGTTAATAGCTATGCTTTGCTGATAAAGACCCGGTGAAATCGCAAGATGAGCCCAGTTGTCTTCCGTGTTGACGTATTTTCTGTTAAAACAGGAAGTTTTGGTAAATGCTTTCATTATGTTGGATATGAATGTGATTTACTACTTGCTAACTATATGCAGCTGTAGGGGTCATCGATATACGTGGCCTGTTTTTTGTTTTGTTTTGTTTTTGGTAGAAAAAGAATTACATTTAAGAGAGTTTTTGGAGACCATTGTCAAACAATAAACAGCAGGAAGCTGTTGTTTGTGCTTATCTTACAGCTCCTAGATTTATGCACCTTACCCAACCTGAGGCAAAAGCCCCTCGTCCTGATTCCATAATTAGATAACAGGATTCTTTCATGAATGTCATGCAAGTGTTAGCAAGTGCCTCACCCAAATAACTAAAAATGTGTCCCTAGATCCATAGTTTAAGACATACTGTAAATAATGTACTAAAAATGCAAGGAGACATATTTGAGGACTTTATACATTGTTCTGTTGGCAGTTCTTTTTAAATGTTTTTGAAAGAAGTCTCTTATGCTCAACATGACTGCATTTATTTGATCAAAAATAGAGTGAAACAATAATAGTGTGAAATTGTATTACAATTTAAAGTAACTCTTTTCTATTTAAATATATTTTAAAATGTAATTTATTCCTGTGATGGCAAAGCTGAATTTTCAGCAGCCATTATTACAGTATTCAGTGTCACATGATCCTCCGGAAATCATTCTAAAATGCTGATTTGTTGCTCAAAAACATTTCTTATTATAATCAATGTTGAAAACAGTTGAGCTTCTATGATTCTATGATGAATAGAACTTTCAAAAGAACAGCATTTATTTGAATGTTTGTAAAGTTTACATTTTAATTAATTTAATTGTAATTTTATAACATTTTAAATGTCTTTACTGTCATTTTTTTTAAATTTAATGAATCCTTACTAAAATAATTAGTTTATTGAAAAACTAAATTCTTACTGACCTCTGAAATTTTTTAAACATTAGTGTAAGTGTTCCAATAACACATTGATTTCTGCAAATACTACATGAATACACACATTGCTAAAAATTGTCAGACAAAAAAAATAAAAACCCTTTCAAATAATTTGCCACCAGATGGAACCACCAATCCAAATTCCTTGAGAATAGCAGCATATGGATCAGTCATCAGCTCAAATGTCATATTAGTGGAATTTGAGTTACTATTCTAAAAGTTAAAATATGAAATCCACTCTCGACAGAAAAAAAATCCATAACTAGACCAGACACATTCATCTCAAAACAGAAGAGTCTTTGATGATTGACGTTCCCAAATAGAATGAATTCAAAGGGTCTATGTTTGAAACAGAACTGCATATTATTTCTGCACAACAGCAGCACAATACAA